TTTTGAAAAAGTAGTATTTTTGTAAAGATTTTAAAAATGTGGCATTTTTGTAAAGTGGTACTTGAAAAATAGTATTTTTTGAAATTTCTCTTTTTGTTGTTTAACAATCTTCATGCACTTTTTCTCTTTTTATTTTTATCGTATTCAAAATCGATTTTTAGATCAACAAAAATATATTTATATTTCAAATAGATAGCTATCAAGACGCATACCTTTTTTTTTTTTTTTACTATCAAGACGCATGTTTGAGCAAGAACTTCAAAATTGAGGCTATATATATATTTGAATTCTAGCCTCAATCAATGCAAGAAATTGCTTAAGATTTTCTTTTACCATCTTAAGTCAAAAACGAAATTAATTAGATTATTCGGCGAATACAAGTCTATAATATGGTTGGAGACGTATATTTGCGAAAATATTGAAACTTTCTTATTTTTGTTTATTTTATGTGTTTGTGAAATTAAAATGGTGTAGCAAGTAGGAACGTAAGCTTTAGACTTTAGTGTTTGTTATTCAAAAAAGAGCATTTAATAAAGCCGGTGGGGTAATGCTTCTCCCTTCTGTTTCCCATACTCATTCTACGTTTGCTTACTATTCGTCAAACCATAGGATATTATTCAGTCTTTTGCTTAAAATGTTGTCTATAATAAAGAATGTGAATAATCAGCGGGAAGTACGTTTAAAAATAGAGAACTCGACAATGATTACATCTTTAATGTTACATCAAATTAGGATGAACCTATTTGATTAAGTTCGGTTCTGAGTTAGGGGAACTGTGTAATCTTCTTGGTTTACGAACAGATATAAGGTCGGTTTCGGTTTACTAAGTTCCTTCGTGACCCGGTTCGAAATTGGTCGATCTATCTTTAATCTCGGTGATTCTTACGTTTCTCGGATTAAAAGGGATATAATTAGTAAAGCATAATATGGAAAAAGAATCTAGTTGCTGTCTGATAAGTAATTTACAAAGGGTCTTTTCAATTTTCATGTAACAATACCACGATTAACGGAGAATCAAATATTGACAGATATAACACGTGTCGTTCTGGTAAGTAATGAGAGTGCCAGATGTACGCCTGTCATTCAATGATGGAACTTACCATCGATTGACCAAAATTCTTACGCAATGGATGTTCTTCCCCCATAATGTCACATCCTCTTAATATCATTTCCTTTTTTTTATGTCTAACAAAGTTATCGTAAAATCTGTACCACTAACAAAATAGATATTGTGACTGAAAATGTATAATACGTATAATTTTTTTTTTATGTTTTTGGTCAATGACTTCAATATAAAATGAGTAAAAAGAAACTTCAATATAAAAAGTGAAAAAAAAAATATGAAAAGGTAAGAAAGTAATTTGTTTGCTTCTCTTTTAGTAGGAGTAAAATATTGCAGGCGATCTCGAATATCGGAACATAGTGCATGCATGATAAGTAACACATATCTAGTATGATTTCCACGGTCGTCTAAAAGATGTGGCAATTGGTTCTATCATACAGGGTGTATATAAAAAAAATTTAAAATTTTTTAAGAAAAGAGAGTCCAAAACTTTTTTTTTTTAATTTATTTTGAAAAAAGTCCAAAATTTTTTCTTTTACCTAAGGTCTTATAAAAATTGAGACGGCCATGATGATTCCAATCTCAATTCGTCTCTTATCGGTAACTCGACTGGCTAACAAAATATTTTATATCTGTAACAATTTTTATAATTTAATAACAGTAAGATATTTCTATATTAAAAAATAAACATTATCTCGAAGATGCATACATACTTTGAATTTTGTCTCTTTTTCGAAATCTCACCCTCGAACGCGCTTCTTGACTCGAAGAGACTTACTTATACAGTTACACTGTACAAGCACACATGGTCTCTAATTCTTTTTTGATAAATTTAGATGGTTTTGCTCGGTGTTCGAAGATAAGATCTAATAAAGTATATAAAATTTATAAGTTAGTATTTTCATTAGTCACTGATGTGCTCCAAATGAATCGACAGAATAATCAGATACCTCCATAAATGATAGAATTAGTAAAAATTTGCAAAATACGTTATGAAATATTAATTTACACGGTATTTTAGTCTATTAAACCCATACATTTAATAGAGGTCTAAGAATATATTTAATCCTCTAAACGGTAGTTCGAGTCATAATCATGATCAATTGGTATTGACTTAAAAGTTTAAAACTAATAATACTCACTATATCAAGAAATATGAATTTTACTTTAATTTGGCAAAACTTTTACAGAACTTTTTTCGGTATGTAGTGCTTAATTAATGAATAGTTAAGTCTCATTTAAAAAAAATAAAATAAATAGTAAATTGATTCTAGACAAAATCATGAACCGATTCACATTAGATATATCAGTGTTCATTGTAAAACTAATTAGCATGTAGATGTAGTGTAGTTTGACAAATGAACACTACAAATACTCAAGAGCATAGCAAATATTAAGGGACATCCTTAAACTACAAAGCTAAAAACTACGTACGTACATAATAGTAATTATGATTTAATACTTAAAAAGGTATCTAATGAAATTAAAAATTAAGTAAAGTTGTTAAATATCTCTAATGACTTTCTGTTAAACAAGCTCCAAATTTAAGTTTC